ACCCTTATCACCAACCAGGTTCTTTCTCTCTCTTCATCAACACACCAATACTAGCCCGATGTCCCACACAGTGCCCTTTTCCATATTCTTCCTCTATCCTCTCATTTCTCCCCAACGTACAATAAATAAAAATCATTGATATGGCCAGTCATTGGTAAAATTAATACTGACCTGGTATGTGTGATGTATAGAGTTTTCCATAAGTTTTCTATCTCTCTTTAGAGAATCTTCTCTCTGTGATTGGGCATGTGATTTAATATGTCCCCTGCTGTCCTTGGGTTGAAGGGTTGGAAATCGTGCCAAATGGGATAACATTGCCGGTGGACATCCAGGGGAGGAGTACGGGGGAGGCCTTCGTGCAGTTTGCTTCACAGGATATAGCTGAAAAGGCTCTAAAGAAACACAAGGAAAGAATAGGGCACAGGTGGGGATGGTTGGTTGGTTGGCTGGATAAGTTGCTTTTCTTATGGTGTGCACTCTCAACATCTGAACCAAATGCAAAACGTACACTACACTAATCTTGGCTAATTTAAGCATATCTGTAATAAATAACACATATACAAATTACAATGTTAGAATCAAATATGCCACACATTCACAATGTTCAATGGGAAGGTTAGTGCTTGGGCACCATTCACAAGGATGACACGAATCGTGAATTAGAGAACATGCTTAACTATGAGAACAAATGGTGTCTCAACACTAAACATCAGTCTAGGATAATGAATGGTTAGGAGTCTCCTGGTGGTAAAATCAGAGGGCCGCTGTACACATGGATCTGGAGCCACCTTCACAGGTAATGCTTATTAGAGTGAGCTGCAGAAGGGCTGGAGCCCTTTCTGTCCCTCTAAAACCAGGACAATGGCTGTCATGGCAAGGACACAGGACGCTCTATTGAATCAGATATAAACTTGACTTCAGGTTACAATTAGAAAAGTGTCAGTTAATTAGGCCCTTAACAATTTGGAAAGCTTAAGTTTTGCAACTCTGTTAATAAGTTCAATTGTATTTGTCTTTCAACAACTAGCATTAAGCACTCAAAGATATTACTACCTATGGACTACAGCCTCTGCATAGCCCAGTTTCATCAGTATTGAGCAAATGCAGCTGTGCCTGGTCCACTCCCTATGCGCTCATTGTGCTATCTCTATGCTCTTAGGTACATTGAGATCTTCAAGAGTAGTCGCGCTGAGGTGCGGACCCACTACGAACCGCAACGGAAGCCCATGGGCATGCAGAGACCCGGCCCCTATGACCGACCCTCTGGTGGTCGCGGCTACAACATGATGGGCCGAGGGGGATCCTATGACAGAGTTCGTCGCGGAGGTTATGGAGGAGGTGGGTGCCAAGAGGACTGAAGAGAATCAGATTTAGTGATTATAAGCCTATGCACTTGTTGTTGATAATCACTCAGACTATCGCCATTCACGCTGCACAATATGATTAATAAGATATGAATGTCCTCATAAAATCTTGTGTTTATTCCGATGGCCATTATATTCAGGTGTGTCTGATGGACGGTATGGCGATGGCGGCTCTTCCTTCCAGAGCACAACAGGCCACTGTGTCCACATGAGGGGCCTTCCATACAGAGCCTCAGAGACAGACATCTACAATGTAAGTCGGAAGACCTCCTGCAAATAATATAGAAAGCAAATAGTTTATTCAGTGCATATTGAGGATGTAAAGGTTGCATCTTACCGTTTCCTATGTCTTTAGTTTTTCTCGCCATTGAATCCCGTGCGGGTCCACATTGAGATTGGTCCAGACGGCAGGGTAACCGGGGAGGCAGATGTAGAGTTTGCAACACACGAGGATGCAGTGGCAGCCATGTCCAAAGACAAAGCTAACATGCGTGAGTTTTAAATGAAAGGACTTTCGCCACTTCAACCGTGCATATAAATGAGATAACATGATATTTGAATTGATGTTCATGGTTTCACTCCCCTCTGCCCCTCAGAACACCGCTATGTCGAGCTGTTCTTGAACTCAACAGCAGGTGGCAGTAACGGCGCCTACAGCAGCCAGATGATGGGTGGCATGGGTGAGTTCAGTAATGGAGGTTGTAAGACTAGTGGCGTCTGTTGGTTGGGAGTCTAAGGGTCCTCCTCACTTCGGTTAAATGGATTCCTTGCGTCCCTCACTTGCGTAATTTCCCTGCGTCTAGTCCCTCCCACCAGGGAAGCATGGAGAGACGCAAGGAAACCACGAGAAGCAGGGAAATGAGTTTTAAGAGCAATGGGACGTCCTTTCCTCCGGAGCGTCACGTGAAGCGACATCCGTTTGTGATGACGCTTCACAGCTGATAGTCTGACAGCAGCTCTGTCCCCGTTATTTCCACAAACACCCCCCCGCCTCTGTCAGTACACATTTACTGACACACACATTTGTATCATCTGTTGTAGACCCCAATACATTAAATAAAATAAGAACTCATTCTCAAAAAAGATAAACGCCATTCTTAAAATGTATAAACGAACAATAGTTTGATTAATATTGATTAGAGTGCACAAAAGAAGAAAAAGAGATATGTTATCTATCAAAACACTTTGTGTGTTTGTGTGGATATGTAGCACATTAACATTGTAATAGCACTTAATGACTGAATGAAAATGATAATAAATGAAAATGTAAAACGAAAAAAGCGATCATGAAATTTTTTCCAAAAAATGAATAAAATGATTTTTGACCACTTTGTTGTTCAGATATTTCACATATTTGTAACTAAATGAAACATGAATTGAATCAAAACACGCTATAAACTGAGGAGTGAGTCCCGTGAGGTTCATGTATTTTCTTCACTCCGCTGGGAAACGGCTCTCATGTCAAGAAGCATCAGATCAGTGCAGGCACTGCCTCGTCCAATCGGTGAGCGATACACAGTAAGGGGGCGGGGCGAGTATCTGAGGATTTCATCGGAGGATGGTCTGGTGGTTCCTCGGTTATAGCTCCTCGCTCCTCCGGCAGAAATAAGAGCCATGGGACGCTACTCAAGATGGCGCACACAAATCAACTTCCGGTGAGACCGAGGAGCGAGGAAATGAAAAATAAGAGAAGTGAGAAGGACCCTAAGTCCTTGTTGCCTTGATCAAAAGGAGAATACTAGGTCAGGGTTTGAAGTTAATACCTGTTTTCTATTTGTAGGGTAGGGTGCTTTGTTTTTTTAGTCATTGTATTAGGGATTCTGTACATTGTGTGATTATGTCTGGTTTTATTACATCAGGGACCATGTTGGAAAAGTTAATACTTCCCATGGTGCCATCAAATCAGTTGGGCTTGATGCTTGGCCCTTTACTCAGGCAGCAGCAGACATGTATTTGGAATAATTCAAATTGGGTGAGGTGTTCCTGACCCCGGCATCTTCTGTCCTTTAACAGGGAACCAGTCGTCATACAGCGGGGGCCAGCTGAGCTCGGGGTATTCTGGTGGATACAGCAGCCAGGGGAATATGGGAGGCTACAGTGACTACAGTGAGTGTCAGCTGAGTGATAATGGGGTTCTTCTAAATACAACCTGACGTAGAACCTTTCCTGTTCCCGAACACATTTACTGAGTGCACTTAAGTATTCATTTGCATCCCAGTGAACCCTTTAGAACAAAATGTGTTTGCTTGCTGGAGCTCCTCGGTCCTATAGTGTGTATTCTCTTTCTCTTGTTAGGTAACCAGGGCGGAATGGGAAGCAGTTACTACGGCGGCGGTGGAGGAGGAGGAGGAAGCAGAGGCTCTATGAATGGAATCAGTGGGGGATGGGGAATGTAGTTTTTTTTGTTTGTGTTCCTCCTTAATATGACGTGTTTTTTTAAGTCAGCATTTTGCTGGAAGGACTGGAAAGGCAAGTCTCACCTAGTTAACATAGGGTAGGATCCGGTGAGGTTTTTTTCAAAATATCAAGGGGGGAGGGGGGGGTAGGGTTTGTATTTCTTTTTTTTAAGTGGATGATCTTCAGCAAGAATTGAGATCATCTGTTGTCAGAGAGAAGCGTTGTTTGTCTTCCCCATTCCCAACCGTTTTGACACATCACAGAAACCGTGCTTTACATTTTACATTACCAGGAAGTGTGTCGTTTGTGTTGCCATTACCATCAGAACCCTGTCTGTTCCCCATGTTAACTCATCCTGCGCCGGTGGTGTTAACATTACTTTCAATGGCTGAGTGCATGAACAAAACATTTCTATCTTCTGATGTTTGAACCTTGTTTCACCTTCTTCATAGTGTGTAGCTTTTTTAATTCCCAATCTGAATTTCAGTCTGAGCATGTTATGTTTCCTTAAGGGTTGACTGAAAGTTGGGCCGTGTTTTCTGGATGAGGGATATGTCAGGGCAAGTGAATTTCAAATCTGTTGACATGAAGGTTTCTACTGCTTTCGAATGCTATTTGTATTTCCTGTGCACAAAGTGAATAAACTAGTCTGGAATATCTAATTGAAACGAGCTTTGCAAAATGAGTTTTTATTCATTTATCAAATGGCTAGATAAAAAAACGTTTGGTCAACATTCCCAAATTAATTTAAGAAAATGGCTTTAGCAGTCGACACAATCCACAAAACCTTTGTAATAATACATTCTAAAATAGTTAGCTTTGTTAACATTCTACAGTCATTTACATAATGAGTGTGTACAGTGGGGCCAGAGAAGAATGGATGACAAGATGGAACAATATTAAAGTATATATTGGTTAAATGTAATCGCATACATGAGCCACAGTAACAACCAGTATTGGGACGTTATTACAATCTAAATCTGATTTTAGAATTAGACAAATTAAAATGGCGAGTTTATGGAGAACCCAAAGTAGCCTTGATCACAAATATAATGTTTAAGCCAAGTCAAGATTCTTTCTAAAGTATTGTGGCTCCTAATTTCAGGTAAAGTGGAAATGAAAAACAACAAATCACATTTCCCTAAAGAAATGATGACATGTTCTGTAACGAGTCGTTTAAAAAGCGTAGTGGTTGAGTATGTGCAGTGTTAGAAAGCCGCTGAAGCTTCAGATGTTTTGTCAGGAAGCTGTGGAGACGCTCCTCTGCAGCAGCAGGGCGTGGCACACATCACACACCCTCACAGGCCGGGGGTACGAGGGTAAGGCCAGCTCGTTACTGGAGCAGTTGTTGCAATAGATGTCCCCACAGTTTCTACAGTGGTGCTGCAACACAAACAAGGACACCTCAATGTCATTGCTGGGAGGATCCATACAGTGTAAATCCTTTAGAGATTAAACTCATTGTTATGCAAGTTTCCTAAATCGATTGAAAGACTAGAAATGCTAAGACATGGGAACAAGGATTTCATGATTTGTGACCAATTCCAAAATCCTCAATAATTGGTCATAAAATTATTTTTTGAATCAACTAAAGGCAACTCCAATTGATGTCATGCAGATCCAGATAGCAGAACTTGTGGGTAGAATTGGCCCCTAAATGTGGTATTAAAACTTCTCCATCTTAAGCTGTATGAACATTAGTGGAAAAGAAAATGAAAAAGGAGGCTACCTTTCTGCGTGCGATGGAGAACTCCTTATCGCAGTGCTTGCACTGAGTGGCCTCGTCGTCTTTCAGCCAGGCGTGGCCCTGCGAAGTAAACAAACAAGATATAACTTGTTAGGATTCTCTGTTCAATTTTACTGCATCAATTATACAAGTACACCATTATTCACTTTTTGTTTTTACCTTCAGGGCTTTATTGACCTCCTTGAAGTCCTCCATCTTCAGTTTAGATCTTTGACAAAAGATGACAAACCTCAGTATATGATGTATGTGATTTAACGTTAAAAGAGAGGGTAATAGAATGAGAAGGACTGACTGGCTGAGATGCAGGCCCATCTCCTGCAGAGCCTGCTCCTGCTGCTCACATGTCTGCCGCAGCTGCTGCTTCTCGTGCTTCAAATCCTGCAGCTCCTGCACCGTCACACAAAACAACATCTTAACACACAGCACTGCACAGGTGGATTCAGTGTTTCCATCATTCCTGGTGGAATGAGCTCCCCATTGACATCAGGACGGCAGATAGCTTGCACATCTTCCGGCGCAAACCGAAAACTCATCTCTTTCGACTCCACTTCGAGCGATAGAACTATTAACGAAGCACTTTTATACTAATAAAGGACTGGCTTATCTAAAGCCAGTTGAGTAGCACTTGAAATGTTTGGCTCTATGAAACCTGATGTACTTATATGATTCTGTTTTCTTCAAGGTTGTGTCTTCCTGGTCGAATGTACTTATTGTAAGTCGCTTTGGATAAAAGCGTCAGCTAAATGCAATGTAATGTAATTCCTGATCCTCTAAACCTTAACAAAAAAAACCTTTTACTGAGGCCGTTTCACCAAATGTAATTACATCCCTAATATCGATGTATTAAATAAATAAAGTTGTGAAAGATTTCTAATTTCAGATTTATACATACTTTTAAAAGCTTTAGTTACAAGTAACTTTTCTGATTGAGATTTTCCCCTGATCAAACATTCTGTTCCCATACTTGTGATGTTATAAAGTCTTTAATGTGGACCTGTGAACTTAATTAATTTATGCCAATCAAACTTTGCCAGACATAATTATAAATGTCATGGTGAACATAGAACTTAAGAACATTATAAAGTGATAAGGTTTTCATCAATTCCAGAGAAGAATCCACTTCTACAGCTGACTGATGCTGATAACTTGTGTGTGTGTCACATACGGCGTTCAGGCCCTGCAGTTGCTGCAGCTGTGTGCGGAGCTCGATGCTGTTGTCTTGTTCCCGCTGCAGAGATTTCTGCAGGCTCTGTCTCTGCTCCCTCTCAGTGCACAGCTCATTCTCCAGACCCAGCCTGAGAGCAGAGGAGACATGGAGAGACTTATTAACTTAGAGTATAAGTGGTACAGGAAGTACCAACCAAAATCTATTTTGATTTGACTCAGGCCCATTCCCAAACCGCCCCCTACACCTTACCCCTACACCCTACCCCTCCGTTTGCGCGTTCACGCGGAGGGTCTGCCATATTGAGGGCTGTTCCAAAGCAACGAGTGTGGAGGGGGAGTGGGCTATCAAGCCCTCAAACAGCGAGTCTGCAGTGGTGCTGACTTGAGACTGGTCTCTACCTGACCGGAGTCACGCTGTGTGTGTCCGTCAGGAAACACGCTGTTTACAAGTAGTTCCAGCAAACATCCACTGATAAACTGCGATGTTAACAACCTCATGATAACCTCATATGTTTTTAATTTAGGATCATACCTGTGTTTAGTCTAGAAAAAGGTAAATGTGTGCATTTTATTATAAAGTTGTGTATATTTACAGACCGTTGCAAAAACTAAGAAGCTTATAAACATCAGGTTTAAAACTAAAAGAGCTTTGAAATACAATGAAAGTTTTATTTGAGTTATTCATTTAAACTTTTTGTCTAAGGGATGCTGATTTGAAACCGTTGTTACATACAGTTACGGCATTTCCTGTTTCTGCCGGAGAGAGGAGTTTGTCCCAAAGCTTGCGGCTGTATTTACTCCCTCCATCTGACAGGAGGGAGCCTCGTTGAGCTGCGAGTGTGGCTACAGACGGAGGGTCGAGGGAGTGGTTTGGGATTGGGCCTAAATCATCCAAAAAGTGAGCTCCAAGAAGAGCTTCTTAACTGCTCCAAAGCTTAGTATTAGCTAATGTTAGCCATATTAGTACAAGGTTTAAAATCTCATCTTGAGCATTAGGTTAACTGACAGCCGTTTCTCCTCAATGTTTTGCAGTTTGTGCACTTGTTCCACTATCATTCTTATTTTGTTCAAACTGTGTTAACCTTAGCGAATCCAGGTCAGTCAGTTGTTTCTGCAAAGCATCCACTTTCCCGTCGAGGTCCACCTTCATATCTTTGTCTGACTGGTCACTCTGTTTGCGCTCTCGCTCTGAGTTCTGTAATCTGTGACGTACAAAAATAACAAGAAGAAGAAAATGAGCTAAGAGGAAAATCACTAAAGGAAATGTGACAAGCACAAAACATACCTCTGCTCTAGTTCCTGCATGGATTTCTCCATTTCATCCATCTTCTGCTCAAGCTGTGAAGCCTCCGCATGCTTTTTTTCTGCCTCTCGTTCAGAGTCCTTAAAAGCCACGTAGGTTGTGTTAATGTGCGTTCTATCTGATGTGAGGGAAAGAACAGGTGTATCCATGTGTGTGTACCTGAGCTTTGTGGAACATCTGCAGGTTAAGAGTCTTCACTTGGTCGAGCTGGAGCCTCAGGGCTGCCAGTGTGTCCTGTTTCTGGTGAGAGTCCTTCTCCAGCAGCTTCATGGCCACCTCTATCTCCTGCTTCAGGCCCACCTGCAGCTCCAACTCACGCTCCAGCTCCTGATGTCAAGCAACATACAAGAGGCATCAGTTCAATTCAGTTCTAGAGTGTAATCTGTAAACAGCAGGATTGCTGAGGTTTCAGATGCAAGATGCTGAAACATTCGTTTATGCTTTTTTCAACTAGATTACAGATATGTAATTACTTTAATTCTCTCTTCCAAAACAGTCAATTGAAAAATGTCAACTTATTCAGGACTGTACTGTTAGCCTGATATGATAAAGTATATCATCATTTAGCTATACTCTATTTACTCCCAGTGTCTTCACACTTTTTGTTGTGTTATAATTCTTCACTAGCTCTCAGATCTTGTGCTGCTGGGTTTTTAAATACACATAACTACGCAATTATAAACACAAGGATAAGGTCCGTTTTTTAGCTGCATTTTGTTGAATGCTGATTCAATGTGGATAGCTCTTGGAATTCTTTTTTAAGAGAGCAGAAAACTTTCTTAATAATACAATTAATAAAAATAAAACAATTTCTTTAATTTAACCTATAGTTAAAGTGATTATATATTTTTTCTTTAGCAATTCTCTCATTTACATTATTTTACATTGTCTATTTTTCCTTTCTTTTTGAAAGGCACTCCATGTCTGGAAAGCATTATTATTAATACCATGTGATCATCATCACACTCACACATAGCTCACACTGCTGGATTATGTCGAACTATGTAATGACTGTTGATAATCAATACTTATTTTCCATATGCATGACATATTATTGTGCTATAGACAGTGCTTTCTGACCTGGCGAATTCTCTTTTCCTCTTTGTACTGCGTCCAAACCACATTGTACATCTCATCCAGGCCCTGTCGAGTCTGTTTGTATGTCTCCAGCTCCACCTGGCTGTCCATGAGGGCGACCTGGGAAAACAAAACATCAACATCATACAGTATAGGTATTTGTTTAGGTTAGGTGAGGTTTAGTGAGTGACTGGTGGATTCTGACCTCTTCCTTTTTCTGACTGGACTGCACGATTGTCTCATTCTCCTTTCTCAGATGTTCCTGTTCCTCCCGCAGGGAGTTGATTCGGTCTGTCGCTGCCGTCAGCTGAGGACAAGAAAACACACGCTTGGTGGTTAAACCAACCTTACGCACACAGATGCTTTGTTGACATTGGATAGGAATGCCTTCTAACACAGTTCACACCTCTATTACAAGCTTGCTGTTGGTCTTCTCTATAGAGTCCATCTTAGCCTGCAGGTCAGTGACGGTGCCACTTAGGTGTCGATTCAACTCCTCAATGTAGTGCTTCTGATCTAGTATGGCGGTCATCTTTGAATCGCTGAAAGGGAAAATATAAAACTGTTCAAGATTTGAATGTGCATTAGGTCTCTTTTGATCCTTCCTGGGGTTAAAACAACAAAAAAAAGATCATAAATCGGCTCAAACATGATCATTAAATCCATCTGAAAGCATGAACTCACTCTTTTGGAGTCTCACTGTTGGCAGTGTCTTTCAGATAAAGGGAAAAGTCAATAACTCCAACCTAATAGGAAAAGAGAAACAGATCACTGTGTGTAACCCTACATTTTCTCAACGATTAAATTAGGTGTGACTGGGATGTGTGGGTCCATAAAACCTGTCAGCACTCACCTGAGAATCGAGATCCTCTCCTTTTATACAGAGGTTAGCGTCAATTACATTGAGGCCTACCAGCAGTCCCCCAATCACAGCCCCCTCGTCCTCCATCATCATTGCTCCAGAGTCATAAAACTCACTAGAAGGAGAAAGACAAGGAGGGATTAAAGGAAGCGTATGAGAGGATAAGAATGCATGGAAAATGCACCAACGTAATCCTTAAACATGTTAGTATTCTAGCATTAAATAACGGTTATAATAAACACACAAAATGTCAGGCTACTAACCTCAGGAGATCTTTGCGGTCCAGCAAAGCTTTCATATAGTCAGCTACAGTCTTCTGCATGAGCGTTAAATGTAGCCAAGCCCTTCCTCTACCCAAGCCGGTCCTGAAAAGAAGAATAAGTAAACATTTAACAACCAATCATCAAAATAGTGTTTTACATTTTTTACACTGTAGGTATAGTGGAGAGTTGTAATAGCATACTTAATGCCGGGCAGGTCTCTGGCACTTGTGGCAATGTTAACAGACTCTGGACACAACTTCTCAACAAGTTCCAAAGGTCCCCATATGGACTTGTTCTGACCAATGAAGGATTTCTTAGCTGAAAAAACAAATTGTTAGTCATTTATGCTTTCTCTGGTACTGATATTGAATCATTAAAAAACTAATCCTGTCAAATGTCAGCCTGATGGACCATCTCACCTTTCAGCCCATGTTTGAGGCAATGTTCCAGCACGACAAAGAATTGCTGCAAAGGAGGGTAATCCGAGTCCAGCGTCCTGCCCAAACTCAAGGAGGACTGAATTAATACTTTGATGCTCAGCTTCATCATGCTGAGGAGGTTGGATCTTTCTATAGCCATGGGGTCTTTGGGGGGAAGAACTGTAAGGAGTGCAAGGGAAAAGGAAAAGCATTGCAATAAGATCAGTCACACAGATGCAGGCTAGGAGGAGATGTCATGCATGTCTTAAATTGCAGGATAAACACTAGATGTAGTGAGAGAGGAAACAGCGTTATCTTGTCCACGCTCATTAACCCCTGAAATCGATGTTTTGCTTCTGAAGTCATGTGTCCTGACAGCTGACCATCAGTTTACAAGAGGAAGTGAGATAAACTTGATAGCTGCATGTTTTATGAATGTTAGTTTGAGTGAAAAAGTTAGTTGTAGTATCAGCTTACTTGGAAGTTTTTTTGAAGTGTTGTTGAGGTCATTTTCGGACTCCCTCTCCGTCGGGGCGCTCGCAGCAGAGGGGTTTCTCGGGGCAGCAGCGTAGCTTACCCCGCTGCTAATCGTCTCCGTGGCCTTCCGAGCCAGAGACAGGATGGGAGCCGACCAGCTGCTCTCTGCCGCCGCAGGAGACGCCTTCTCCGGCCGCTCCGGCTCCTCGCTGCCGCCGGACTCGAGGTCGGGTGCGGCTTCAGAAACTTCTGGCTCATGTAGTTGTTGTTCTGCTTCGCCATCTTCAACAGCTGTGTTTACTTCCCCTGCCTCGTCGGCCATGTTTGTCCCCCCTCCCCTTTCCCCGAGTATTCACGTGACCACAGCAGAGCAATCAGGCGCGCTGTGAGAACGTTATTCTTCTTCTTTGGTGTTATTGGCGGTTGAGGAGTCAATTCATTTGCACTACCGCCTCCCATTGGATATAACAAAAACTCAGTCCTGCAAATCCTGCAGTTAACTAGGTTAATCTTGAAGTCTTGACCCACTTTAAAGCCAGCACTAAAGCGCCCTACCCACAGAAGACACTTAATAAGTCACAGTAGGACAATACAGGTGTACATGATGAAAGTAATGATACATATCATGTAGGTGCTCCAGTGTTAGGGTACTGGTATTTTGCATTCTATCACACTGTCACACAATATAGAGGCTAGGAATTATACTATATTCAAAAAGTGTTGGACAATACAACAGTTGCACTACTCTCAAATAGCTCAGTTTCTCCTGTAGGCCTTAGAAATAGAAAACAATGAATATCCATTATTTTACATTGTTTAATAACATATGATGTTATATGTTCCAGACTTGTGAATACATAATCTTACACATATTAAAAACATGAGTATACTTTAAACAATATTTATTAACAGTATTTCAGTGTTGCCTTGTCTGATTTTATAATAAATAGTCTGAGTATTTGCTCTGAAGTAGTCTATAATGGTCACGGTAATGTTACTATTGGTATCATAATGCTAACCCTATACTCCCAACTTGTTAAATCTCACTCTAGTAACATTAAATTGAGACATTTGAGACTGAATTGAGACAAGTACCACTGCAGTCCTCTGTACACTCAGAGCAGGTGTGATGTAGTTCCTAGTTTCAGCACCTGGTGGCGCAGACAAGCTGTGAGTTTTTCGCCTGAAGAACATCTTTACTTTAAGATCTTTAAGGTGCTCTCATCTTTAAGGTGCTCTCATTATTTATAGGCCTTTAGAAATTCACCAGTCTAGTTTGGACCGTACAGCTATTATTGTTGGTCTGCACGCTATTATTGGTTGTGTCAGCCAACCATTTTTAAATATCACAAATTATTTTTACTTTAAATGTTTGTGAGGGCTACTTTTCACTTTCACACTGCATATTATTAGCCTGGAGTGCAGTGTGAAAAAAGCATTATGTGTGTACGTGTTTGTAGCCTTAGGGCCCTCATCTTGATTCAATAACAACACATCCATCCCTAGCCTTATGCAGATTGAAAGTGTGAGTGAATGGGTGGATATAGGTCAAGTAGTAACAGGTAAACACCAACAAAAGTTGTAATTATTATACTATTATACTATGTGTATCTATGTGTCCATCATCTATCTATCTATCTATCTATCTATCTATCTATCTATCTATCTATCTATCTATCTATCTATCTATCTATCTATCTATCTATCTATCTATCTATCTATCTATCTATCTATCTATCTATCTATCTATCTATCTATCTATCTATCTATCTATCTATCTATCTATCTATCTATCTATCTATCTATCTATCTATCTATCTATCTATCTATCTATCTATCTATCTATCTATCTATCTATCTATCTATCTATCTATCTAATAACTATATCTCTATCTGTCTGTCTGTCTGTCTGTCTGTCTGTCTGTCTGTCTGTCTGTCTGTCTGTCTGTCTGTCTGTCTGTCTGTCTGTCTGTCTGTCTGTCTGTCTGTCTGTCTGACTTTCTGTCTGTCTGTCAAGTCTGTTGTAAGTCAAGTGCTATTCAGGTAGACTAGGTAAAAGTGAGGAAAAATATAGTAGCCTACATGGGCCTGATGAATTCCTAACACACTCCATGGAAACGTAGAAAGGATGTAGCCTACATTAAAAAGCGAGGAACATCTCCTTAATAATTAATACCTTAGTAATGCTTACCACTGCAGCCATCAGTCTACTTTTTCTCATTTGGCCCTACATAATGTAACTGCACACCAAAGTGATTTAGCCTGATAATCCATGATTCAAAGCACTTATGTTGTTACATTTTTCAAAAATAAAACACTCTTTGTACAGTATATTCCTGTGTCTTGCATGTCACAGCAGCAGTCTCTCCTGCTGTAAAGCTCAGCCTCTGTAGGCGTGGTGAACTTAAGGCAGCAGGCCATAAATACTGCGGAGACTCTGTCCGGGCGCTCCTTCACTCTGCGCCTCTCTCACTGCAACATACGGGACACTCCAGCCCTCTCAAGTAACGCCAAGTGTTCGCAAACAGGCGGAATTAATTCAAACGAAAAAATAACCAAAAAAAGCGAAAAGAAAGGAATATTTAGAACCGGATCAAGAGAAAGGAATACAACTCGTACATCATCGTATTTTTTCCCTGATAAAAATTCCGGGACGTTTTGACATCATGAGGATTTTCAGTGCTGTGCTCTTGCTGGTTCACGCCTTGGGTGAGTTTCATGTGCGCACATTTTTGGATAACAATGTACCTTTCTTTTAAGTTGCTTATTCCGTTTAATATTACATTTCTAGCTGTGTGACATCTTGCTTATAACACTTCTCTAGTATGTCTCGTAAACTGTACAACGGTTTTCATGATGCCAGGCTATTCGGGAGCTAGTGGGGTCATCTCTCTATTTTAGAGCATGCTTTATGTAACTGGATACATTTATTTTTAACTTATATTCTTGCCTGACATTAGCTAACTGTCTGTAAATGCATTTCATGTGTGTGTACGTACGATACACAGGGATATGCCAACTTCTATTTGCCCACTACATTTCCCTTCCAAAGACCTTAAACTGTCCCACAGAGGAAGGGCCTGGCTTATTAGTTCAATACCCACTTTTCCGTGTGCAGCTGAGCAAGGCAGTGAATACCTACCAACCCTTAAAGATCATACTTTGTATCAGAGTGTGTCCATTTCCTTACAGGGATCAGTAAGATTGCACTGAAAGCCAAAAAGCCTGCCTGGAGCTTCCTTGCTCAAAACATGTTTCAACTTGTTCTCATAGTTCCTCCCACCTTGGCTCTCTAACCTGTGTGCATTAATTACTCCCTAGGCGAAGAGTTTGTGTTAGGACTATGCCAAACCAAACTTAGATGCAATTTAACCATTCTAAACACTTTTATTCTCTCCTACAGTGGTGTCCAGAGGGGTCAGTGGAGCTGCGGTCGACAGGTATGAGAGCGACAGGCAACGGCACACAGCTGTTATCAACTTGGACACGACCAGAGGCAGGAGGGTGGAGGAGGAGAGCAGAAGCATGAGTGCTACTACAGCGGAGTATGGTCAGCAAGTCGACGAGGAGGATTATGAAGATTATTACGATGAAGAAGAGTATGAAGATGGCATGTCTGGGGACTATGATGAACTGCCACGAGGTAAGGGAGTTTGTCATTTCTCAAATTCATCACACGATTTTACTTTAGTCTTAACAAAGATTAATATATTTTTGTTTTCTGTTTTCTGTTTAGTTGCAATGGTAAGCAAACCAAAAGACCCGCTTGCCATCCTGGAGACTGAAAACCCAGAAGGAAACAGAAGAAGAGGAAAGGGAAAAAGGAAGGGGAAAGGCAAGGGAAAGAAGAGGAATCCTTGCCTGAAGAAGTATAAAGATTTCTGCATTCACGGCACCTGCCAGTACTATAGGAACATCCGTGCCCCATCCTGTGTGTAAGTATCAGCTCTGCAGACATCTACACACCACCTCCCACACTCAGAGTCCAACCAAATGATTAATGATTTCCTCTCTGTCCTGTCTGCAGGTGCCACCAGAATTACTCTGGGGAAAGGTGTGAGTTTTACACGTTGCCCGTGGAGCAGCCCCAGGAGGGCTACACCAGGACCACAGCTCTGGCGGTTGTGGCGGTTGTGCTGTCGTCTGTGTGCCTCACCATCATTGGCCTCTTATTGTTGCTCAGGTAAGCAAAACACAAAGATTCACTTGCAAACACACACTGGCCACTATACACACATAGATAAAGGGTTTTTCTAGCAGCTTAGCTGATACTTGCCACGGTTAGACACTGAAAATAGTCTAAACAAGCCCCTTTTCTTTTGTGGATTACAGGTTTCACAAGCGGGGAGCGTATGATGTAGAGAATGAGGAGAAGGTCAAACTAGGGTTAGCGTCCAGCCACTGAAGAGACAAAGACAGGTGAGTTGTGAGGAACATAGAGACATACACATCTTCATTTGTTTTTCTTCCGTTGCCTGAATGAAATAAGGTTTTACTCATTGTCTCTCTCTTTGTTTCATTTTTAGGCAAAGATGTGGAAATTCTACCTCAAAATAGAAAAGGAGAAGTGAACTGCGAAAGGAGGTCCTAGAAGGAAAAGGATTGTACATGAAGAAGGGAACTGAGGTTGTCGTCTGCCTTGACCCTATGTAGACACTCAGATGAACAATGGGCAGAGGAACATATTCCTGAAGGCCTCAGAAGACGCTGGCCCAAACTGAAACTGGAATACTAACGGCCCAGAGGACGGACTGGAGATGTGAGCACGAAGGAACGAGAAGAAGGAACGTGTCTTGACTCTGTGCTGCTTCGTGTGTGAGAAGAGGTCGCTTCAGACTGAACTGAGCAAGATTTTTAACAAAAGCATTTTGTATTTTCCTGCACAAGTCCATTTCTTTTTGTGTACAGTCAACGTTATATTTATAATTTTTATTTATTTATTTAAGCTTACTGTATTTATAGAGACTTTAACCACCTTCAACCGTTTTGAAAATAATGATGTTACAGTTGTTTTTTTATATTTCTTATTGGACAATATTTATTTATGAAACGAAAAGCAAACAATGCAGAAGCTCTTTGAGATATTCAGTAAAGAGATATGATGCATAATAAAATAATAAAAAAAAAAAATGGCACTCAGATGATCAATTGCACTGTGATTATTACATTGATCGTTAAATAGAGAATCGTTTTTTTAGTTATTCAGGATAGTTTCATTAAGTGCAAGGAAAGCCCTGCTCGCCCTGACACCGTTGCACATATGTATACCTGGACGCTGCAAAGTGAAACTGGGTGGATGAGTCAGCAACAAGGCAGCTCTGCCGTAGAAGTTGCTCAAAGGAACATCA